GTCCTAAATATTATTTTAACATTGACCAAAGCACTAGTAAAGTAGTGTTAATGCTGAAATTTCTTGAAAATTTTAGTATAGTAATTACTTAAATTACGCTCAAAATATCTTAATACAATACCCCAACATTACCCAACATTAGAAATTAAGTGTCACAACAAATTAATGTAGATATTTTTGTTTGACTGATTCCTTGGCTTCTGAACACTCTGCTTCCTTGGTTTTGTCCTCTACCTAAGTACTAGTGTAAAAGTCCATCCACGAGTGTGGGCCGTTGTTTGTAGCTATCAAGGGAGCTGGAATTTCTGTATTTTTATTTCCTTTCTCAATCAGTACGTGAGACTTTTCAAAAGAAACAGGTAAGCAGGAAAAAGGGGAAAATCAGGTGATCGCATTTACAGCCAAACCTCCAATTGAACCGTGAAGGAGCTAAAGGTGTGAGTTATAATTTCCATTTTTATTTTATTTTTATTTTTTTGGTAAATAACGATAATATTACTAAATCAAAATAACTAAGTACATCGAGGGGAATCCGTAAGTGCACCCTATAAATTTCTGAATCCGCTACCATACAAAAAAGGAGCAACAAAATAAGGGCAATGCTCCAACATAAATTTCAAGAGAAGAGGAGAGAGAAAGCCCATATTAGCCGGTTATGGAAGTGAAGACAGAGGATATACATGTCAGGTTTTGGGTTAAAATGGTATTGTATAGCAGGTTGTCTTCTCAATTTTTTTTTTTTTTTTTTTCAGAGGATATACATGTCAGGTTTTGGGTTAAAATGGTATTGTATAGCAGGTTGTCTTCTCAATTTTTTTTTTTTTTTTTCTAATCAGGATCTATTTAAAACCTTTAGATTATAATTACCATTTGAAGAATTAATCATTAAATTAAATATTCTATTTATGTAAATCATATATATAACAATAGATATACTCTTCGATTCAACATATTATACAACATATTATATAATATACTTATTAAAAAATTATTATTTTTTAATATGAAATAAAAGCATATAAATTTAAAAATACAATCATGTATACAACATGTAGAAATCGGTTGAATTAATTATACTTATATTATATTTTAATAACTAAACAAGGCAAGTGTTAAAAGGTATATTGAATCGAAGGGAATACCAATTATTTTTCAAATCATATAGGTTAATTTTTAAATTGATCTCACATGTATATCCTTTGATTAAACGAATTTTATTTACTAACATATATTTAATGGTGTTAAATTTTGTGTAATTAGTAAACTAGTTAGGCTTAAAAAACCAATTTGAAAATTGACAAATATGATATACATAAATAGACCTTTTAATTTAACAATTAGTTTTAAAAAAATTAATTAAAATATGACATTTTAGGAATGTCCTTAAAAAAACATATTGCAAAATGCTTTTCTTAAAATTTTACTTATCCAAATGAAAATTTGCTAACAAACCTAAAATTTTTTTTTAAAAAGTTGTTGTGTAGTTCGAATTAAATTAGATTGCAAAATACTAATCATTGGATAGGGGTTGGCCATTAAGTCCCCTAATATTAGAGGCATTTCCTATCCAATGGTCTATATTTTACATTCTGGTGTAGTTCAAATTGTAAAATAGAGTCCCTTTAAAGTTATTCTATTTTTAGTAATCAGTAAATGTTAAAAATGTTTCACTTAAAAATAATTCTCTCATTGTCTCAAAATAACTATCATTTTGAGTGTGTATCGATCATTTTACTTTGGGAACAATTTATGTATTTACCTTATTACCCTTAGAAAATGTTAAAAATAAAGTGAGACTTTTTGTAATATAATAATTAATCAAAATAAATAGATAATAATAAGGTTAAATAAAAAAATATTTATCTCTCTTAAAAAGTGAAAAAATGGCAATTAATTTGAAATAAACTCAAAGTAAAAAAATGAGAGTTAATTTGAAACGGAAGGACTATATAGAATTGTTTGTCCCGATAGGAATATATAGAATCCTTTTGATTATTGTTTTGTAGTGCTTCCTTTGTTCATTTTTAATAGACTTAATTTGACCTTTTGATTTCCAAACATAAATTTCATAAGAAAATTTAACATATTATTTAAATGATAATTGAAAATTTTTTTATTAAATAAAAGTACTCAACAAGAACTTTATGTAAGAGGAAAAAACTTTTCAATTGTTATTTATATAAATTGTTAAATTTTCATTTGAAATGTTTTTTCTTCCTAGTTGAAGTTTTTCTTAAGTGCTCTTATTTAATCAAAAAAGATTTTCAATTATCACTTATATAATAAGTTAAATGAGTAACGCTATAAGGACTGATTGGTCCCGAGCTGATTGGTCCCTATAGTTATTTTGTTTTGTTTAGATATAATAACTTTTAATTTTTATTTTCAAATTTTGTGATTTTAATTTTTAAGTTATTAAATCTCAAATTTAAACATTAAACACTAAAAACTAATAATATAAACCCTAGCCTTAAAAATCTAAACCCTAGCCTTAAAAATCTAAACCCTAACACCTAATAATATATACCCTAACCTTAAAAATTTAAACCCTAACACTTAAAATTTAAACCATAACATGCACTTAAAACCTTAAACTCTAAAAAATTTAAACCCTAACCCTAAATGCTAGTAAACTCTAGAAAATTTAAACCCTAACCCTAAATGCTAGTAAACTCTAAAAAATTTAAACCCTAACCCTAAATGCTAGTAAACTCTAAAAAATTTAAACCCTAACCCTAAATGCTAGTAAACTTTAAAAAATATAAATCCAAACATCCTAAGTATTGAAATTTAAAATAATCTAAAACCGTAACATGCTAAAAACTAATTTTTAAATTAAGTTTGAAAACTAAAAAATAGTTCAAAAACTGAGGGACTAAAAAAGTTTAAATTCCTAAATTAAGGAACCAATTCTTCGTTTAACCATAACAACGGCAAAAGAAATTAGCGGATGCGGAGCTGCCACGTACCGTTCGCCCTCAATTGATCGGCAAAAACCTACTTTAGCCCCTCACCTTACTAAGTTTAAAGGTTTTAACCCCTTAACTTATACTATGACACCTTTAACCCCTCACCTTACTAAATTTATAGGTTTTAGCCCCTCACCTATTAAAATTGAAGAAAATAACCCTCACTATATACTGATTGTTAACTCTGTTAGCTAAAAATAGGTTTTTGTCAACTAACAGTCAACTAATAGTCAATTAACAAAATTAATGAAATATTATAAAATTAGTTATGTTAACACTGTTAGTTAAAATAAGATTTTTGTAAATTAACAGTCAATTAACAGTTAGTTAATAGAGTTAACAGTCAACTAACATAACTAATAAAATGTTATAAAATAAGGGCTATTTTCTTCAATTTTAATAGGTGAGGGGTTAAAAGTGTTATAATATAAGGTGAGGGGTTAAAATTTATAAATCTAATAAGGCGAAGGGTTAAAAATGTTATAGTATAAGATAAGGAGTTAAAATTTTCAATAAGGTGAGAGGCTAAAGTAAGCTTTTGCCCAAATGATCTAGTACACCGCCTCTTAATAATTATTTATATTAAATTTTAAGGTTAGTGTGTAACTTTCTTGATTTTAAAAAATAACTGAAATTTTAATCTATATTTGGAAATTAAAATTTTATTTTATTAAATATTAATATTTAAATTTAAAAATTTATCATATATTTTAATATATTAATATTTAATAAGATAATTTTTTAAATTTTAAATTAAATTTTAATTAAATAAAACGATATAATTTAAAATTAAAACTTCAATTATTTTTAATACTCATGATTGATATATATATTTTTTAAATTTTTATTTAAAAAATTAAACTAATATTATTAAAAATAAATGAAAGGCAGTAAATTCATTAAAAAAATAAAAAAACAGAAGTAGCGCACTAATTATCAGGTCATGCATCCAAGCCAAATGCAGATAAGGTTACCTTGACATAAATTTCAACTTGACCCACTTGCCTATCAATTATTATGAATTCTAGGCATTCTGTTTTGGAAAAATCGATGAAAGTGACATTATTCGTCAATCGTCAATCGTCAAATTCATGCCAAGTAGACTGAATATTGCTTCTAGAGAACAATTTTTAGAATTGAGTAAGGCTGGAATATTAGATTCAAATGGATTGATCCGATCTAAAATTAACTTAATTTGATTAAAAGCTAATTCAATTCAAATTCAATTTAAATTGGTTTAGATTATAAAATTATTAAAATATTATTAATAAATAAGCATGAAAAGAAATTTTATTAAAAATATTTTAATAATTTCAATATATATATATATTTTGAACAGTGTACATTGCAGGGGTAGGGGTTCAAATCCTGCCTGAGTGCACTTTTTAACAAGGTTTAAAATCATTGAACCACTGAGTGCAAGTGCTAATAATTTCAATATTTAAATTGTAAAAGAAATGCAATTTGTATTTAAAAACACATTTTTATATTGTGACAATCTTTTAGAGTGTATTGTGAGAACTATTATTATCTACATAAAAAAAAATAGTGTATTTTAAATTGTATTGAACAATATAACTTTAATTATTAATAAGATGATGGTCTTTTAATATTGAAGGCCATCCCTCATTAAATGGCCTTTGTTTTGCAACTCAATGGAGTTTGGATTGCAAAAGAGGAGATATGTAGAAGAATAACCGTGAAGAAAGGGTAAACTTATCCCAACACTCATTTAGCGGCATCACACTTCGAGGCTATTTCGCAAAGCTTTTTCAAGAGTTGCTTTTTTAGCAAAAATTTCAAGATCTCTCCATGAATTTGAAATATTCTGAAAGAAAGTCCACTTTTTAGCATAATAGTGCTAAAATCGCAAGTTTTGGAAGAAACAATGGATTGTTGCTTTTTCGCAGAACTTGTTATTTTAGAATTATTTTACTGAAAAACAAATATTCCCTCTAAAATATTTCAAACATAAAAAATAAATTTTGAAATTTTTGCTAAAAAAACAACTCTAGAAAAGCAGCTTTGCCAAACGGCTTCTTTATCTCCTCTTCAAATTCTTTCTACAACAGAAAAATCCTTCTGCAACAACTGAGTCAGTGGAGGAGACCAATTTGGAGGGATCCATTTCTCATTTCTCGGTGGCGGAGATTACAGAAAGGGACCATAATCTTAGTATATCTACCCTTTTCTTTTTTATTTCTTTTTCAATTAGTTTGATCAATTTGATTTGATTCTTTATAATTCACAAATTAGTTTGCCTCCTGGCCTCAAGAGTTCTACTTGTTGTGGCCACGTTTATAGTATGTTTGATCTAAGGTAAAAGAAGGGGAGTGAAAAAAATTTCTCTATTTGATTATTAAGAAAATTGGAGGGAAAGGAGGGAGGTGAGACATTTACATTATTATTACTTTTTATTTTTTTTACTTATCTAAATGACACTTTCCTCCTTTCCATTTTCCTTAGACCAAATACATTATTAGTGATAAATTTCTCAATCTCTAGCTTGTTGTTTATTCCAAAGAGGAATTAACAGCTCTCTAGATAGGTTGTTAGAAAATCTAACATTACTACATCTATAAATTTATTATTATTGTTGTTGTTATTGTTGTTATTGTTGTTGATAAACCAAAGATAATTTAGTTGCTGAGAAAAAAAACCTAGAATTTCCTTTAAATTCTATATAAAGGTTTTTGCTTTCTTGATAAATTAAATCAAGGATTGGCTATTTTATAGTTCGGAACAATCCGAACTGTAAAACATTTTTTTGTTTAGCTAATTAATTTCTCTATTATATATATACATTTCTTATGTTATTTTAAACTTATTAAAATGAAGGAGAAGGGAGGAGAGTGATAAGTTGAAATTATATATATTAATGT